GGTGAGCCCCACTTCTGTCTGTCTCTCTCCTCTTCTCTCTCTCTCTGCCCCTCGCTCACTTGCACCCTCTCTTTCAAAAAAAGTTTACTCAGATTTCATGAGAACGTGAACTAGCTTATCACACCACGTTGATAAGCTTTCTTTGCCTTTCTTGGGAATAGTACTTCCTGGTTCTGCTCAAGAGCTGGAGAGAGTGTTCACTGAGGTGTTTGTTGAGTGTTGCTATGCATTAGGGAGCATAGGGTGGGCGATACATAAATGAGAGAGGTGGTTTAAGAGTATATGATTTATTAACAAACTAACCAAAACATATCTCCAAATAAGCACTGTTCCTTTGAAGTACTCACTCTGGGCCTCTGTGCGTTGACCTCTAACCTCACAGGGCTAAACGGGAATAGTGATTTACTGTGACAAGACTCGTCTTCCGAGTGGCTGACAGGCAGGTGCCTGGGACTTCCTGGCTGTGTGTCAGCAACAGAAGCCTTGCTGACGCTGGGGACAGCTTCGCAGGCCAGGCCCTCACATGGATGTAGGGTCACTGTCTGGTCTCAGCCTGCCCGTGACACGATTCAGAGGCCCACATGGGAGACACCTGACGGTCAGGGATGGGGCATGGGGCGCTCGTGAGATCACAGGAGTTGCCCGGCGTGCGTCTGATAAGCTCAAAATGAGAACAACCGGATTTCTGTTTCTCACCGTCTCAGACTAATAAGCATGTGGGTGCTGGTGCTTGTTGGAGCCCCTGTGGCCCACCCTGTCCGTGTCTGCTGAGGTTGTGTCGGGGACAGGCAGCTCTCGCGCTCTGCTCAGTACAGAAAACCCAGGACGCCCTGCCAGGGGCAAATGGCGGGTCGCAGCCAGGCCAGCAAGCAGACGGCCCAGACCCGGGGCCAGGAGGCAGAGCCGTGTGGACCGAGGGGAAATGAAAAGTGTGTCTAAGTATTTCTTTTTTTTCTTTAATGTTTGTTTATTATTGAGGGAGAGAGAGCGAGTGTGGGGGAGGGGTAGAGAGAGGGCGAGAGATCCGAAGCAGGCTCTGCGCTTACAACAGAGAGCCTGATGCAGGGCTTGAACTCAGGAACCGCAAGATTATGACCTGATCCAAAGTTGAACACCTAACCAACTGAGCCACCCAGGCGCCCATGTCTAAGTATTTCTTAAGTCAGTTAGAGATGACTGGAAAAAAGTTTCACTTTTTTTTTTTTTAAAAAAGTGTTTTGGTCTTGGAACAGAGTTCATCAGCATTAAAATTATCCTACACAGGGGTCGCCTGGGTGGCTCAGTTGGTTAAGTGTCCAACTCTTGATCTCAACTCAGGTCTTGATCTCAGGGTTGTGAGTTCAAGACCTGTGTTGGGCTCTGCACTGGGCATGAAGTCTACTTAAAAATTATCCGGGGTGCCTGGGTGGCTCAGTTGGTTAAGCTTCTGACTTCAGCTCACGTCATGAACTCACAGTTTGTGGGGTCAAGCCCTGTGTCGGGCTCTGTGCTGACAGCTCAGAGCCTGGAGCCTGTTTCAGATTCTGTGTCTCCCTCTCTCTCTGACCCTCTCCTGCTCACACTGTCTCTCTCTCTCTCTCAAAAATAAATAAAACATTTTTTAAAAAGTATCCAGTATGGTAATACTGCTCACTTTTTTAGGTATGATAATGGTTTTATGGGATTTTTTTTTTAAGTCATTATCTTTTAGGACTAAATACTGAAATATTTACCAATGAGAGTTGGGTCTGGGATTTACTTCAAAATAACGCATCACCGGGGAAGACCAGAGTGGAAACAGGGTTTATAGATGAGACTGAGTTAGATATGAGTTAATTCCTAAAGCTGGGTGATGGGTACATGGGTGTTCATATACTTTTCTGTTTGTTTTTGTGTATATTTAAAACTTCCCCTAACAAAAGCCTTTTTAAAAAGTTGCCTGATGCGAAACATCTAACTTCTTAGGAAAACAAGCCAGACAGGGATATCAAGTCTAAACACCGGCCACAGAGAAGACACCAGGCAGGAAACGTTCCACCCTTCTTCCGGATGACACTTACCCACCCCACAGTGTGCAGCCTGCCTTAGCTCGGGCTGCTAAAACAAAATGACCACAAACAAGGGCTTACACAACAGACCTGGATTGCTCACAGCTCTGGAGGCCGGCGTGCGGGACCAGAGAGCCAGCGCGGTGGGGCTCTGCTGAGAGTTCCTCCGAGTCGCAGACGGCCGCCTCCGTGTTGTGTCCTCACTTGGTGGAAGAGGCAAGGGAGCTCTCTGGGGTCCCTTCTATAAACCAGGGCACTAACCCCGTTTGCGGAGGCTCCACCCTCGTGACCAGGCCGTCTGCTTGCTGGCCTGGCTGAGACCCACTGTTTGCCCCGGCAGGGCGTCCTGGCCAGAGCCGTCCTTAGGTCCTGTGACGTGTCAGATTTTGATGGGGTTCAGGGGGTGATGGGGAGCCTTCCTGACGCCTCCTGTAGGAGTTCAGAACGTCCGTCTGACAAGTTCAAAGGGAAAGCAGTTGAATGCCTTTCTCTTTCTCACCAGGCGTGCAAGGGCCTAGTGTTACTTCCTGACCAGCCTTTGTGTCCCGTGTCCCCCTCTGCTTTCCCAGCACGCAGATCCAGGTGGTCTCTGCCGCCCACCAGCCCCTTGCCCGCGCTTCCTGCGGCACCGAGGGGTTCCGGAATGCCAAGAAGGGCACGGGCATCGCCGCACAAACAGCAGGCATAGCTGCTGCCACGGTAAGTGTGCGTCCTCTCCGGCTCCCTCTGTGCTGTGTGTCACTCTGTGCAGGACTGGTCCCGGGGAGGGGGCTTCTCCTTGAACCAGTCACTCATAAGCAGTGGTATTTGCCGACCCTTGTTCGATACCCTAACATCGGGGGCAGTTTGAAGGAGCCTCTTTATCTCGTGAAGCACCAATTCGATTGTGAACTGTTGCAGACCTTTCTAGAAGCAGATTGGCAGTATGCACCTCTTCGTGTACTTATCGACCATCTGCTGTACGGCAGGCACTCTACATTCATTAACTTAAATCCTCAGGAGACGCTCGGTATTACCCATTTTTAAGGGCCAGAGTGTGCGACTTGCTCAGAGTGATCGGTCTGGGTCCACAGCCCAGGCCCAGGCAGGCCTAGGATGGGCCTTACAGAGGTTCACACTCTGCCAAATCAGAAGTATTTCCTGAAGGAAAACCTCAGCCTTCAAACAAACCTTGATGCCCCCAAATAGTATTTGCTGCGTATAAACGATCATCAGAATGTGTTAGGTGTCCCCCACTGGACAGACTGTATACAGTAAAAGGCGTCAGCGGTAACAGTGCCCTCTGCATGGTGGGTTGAGTGGACCTCTGTGTTTTCCAGACTTTCTGTAATGAACGGCCTCTATAACCAAGAAGCAAACTTTTAAGTGATAACACTTAAAATTTAAAACGATAATACTTTTTAAGTGGGTTATTTAGGCTCCACCTTAAAATCCTGCCTTCAACCCCCCCCCCCCAGAACAATGGGAGCGACGTGTAGAAACCTCCATCAGGGGGCAGTGCTGCCCTGGGTTAGCAGGGATCACAGCTGACAGTAAACTCAGGATTCGACAGGTTCCATGCCCTCTGCCGGAGTCTGCCCTGCTGTGCTGTGTTCTGCCCGTTTATGGGCGGGGGGGGGGGGGGGGGGGGGGGGGGGGGGGGGGGGGGGTCGGGCGTCTTCCCTGGAGCAGTAGCCCTCTTGCCCCAGGCAGCAGGAGCAAGAGATCTGGATGGAGCCGGTCTCTCTCTGGAGCACTAACTGCTTCCTTCTCTCCAGAAAGCTGCAGGGAAGGGCGTGACCCACATCCGAGTGGTTGTGAAAGGCCTGGGGCCAGGGCGCTTGGTAAGTGACCCAGAGGGGTCTCTGAGGGGTCTCTGTGGCGGGTGTGCTTCCCTCCTGGGAGAAACAGGGCTTGAGCACAGTCAGGACTGGAAAACTCTGTGGTGGATTTCCATGACAAGTTTGTTTCTTTCTGCCTTCAAACCTACTAAGCTTCTCAAAAGCAAGCCCAGATCACTTAGTTTAATTCATCAGACACTTATTGAGTACCTGCTGGGTGCCACACACTGGGAATAGAAAAGTGCTCCCTGGGGGCTGTCACAGACGGACCCCTCAGTACAGACTAGCAGGTGCAGTGGTAAAGCTTGTGCCCAGCATGTTGGGCACCTACTGGGTATTTCCCCAGAGGTGATATCTCTACTGAATTTTTAAGAATAGAAAGGTATTCACCAGGTGTGGGGGGAGAGAGGGAACATTCCAGGCAGAGGAAATGACAAAAGTGTGATGATTACAGGGTGTTGGGATTTACATATAGTCTTGGTGGGAAGTGGTCAGGGCACCTAGAGAAATGCAAGCATCAAGGACATGGTTCAGGGGTTTAGTCGGGAGTCCTTGGTGAGAGAAGAGTCAGGACTGTAGGTAGGAAAGCCCCATCCCGGCCCTCTCCAAGGTCTTTGTCTGGGACCATGCCATTCTACTGTTCCTTCTTCCCCTTCTAGTCGGCCATCAAGGGGCTGACCATGGGGGGCCTGGAAGTGATCTCAATCACAGACAACACCCCCATCCCGCACAACGGCTGCCGCCCCAGGAAGGCTCGGAGGCTGTGATGGAAAGGAAACCTGCCCCTGAACCTGACCTCAAGTCCCGCCTCCAGCTGGACCTTGTAGAGAGCACACTGTCAGAGCTCTCTCCAGAGGAGGGCTTGCTGGAGCCCCCTCAGGGGGTAAGAGGGAGCTTTGCCCCCTTCTGTGGTCATCTCACTTGTTCCTTTGACTGGAGACTGTGTCCAGAAGTGACTCCAGAGGACCCCATACTCCAACCAGGAAGTGCTGCCTCTGCTCTGCAATAATAAAAATATCCCACCATCTGGAGTCGTTTGAGTGTTTTGCTTCCAGACTTGCAAACACAGTATTCCCTTTATTTGGCCTTTATTCAGGTGGACAGAGGACCGTCAGTGTATCAGACAGGGCCCAAGCAAGAAATAAATGGTTCAAGAGGTTTAAAAGAGACGTTTAATGAAGATTCTTTACAGAGGTGCAGGCAGGGTTGAGGGAACAAACGCACTTCCAGAAACTTCCAGGACTAGCAAGAGCCGGAAGCCCCTTTCCAGGGCCAGGGGAAGGGGCGGTTCCAGAACCTGGGGCGGAGAGCGTAGCCTCAGTCCCAGAGGGTCAGCCTCATAGACCACGACAGTGGTCCCATGCTTCCCACGCTTTGCACACTGTAGTTTTAGAAAATGTTCTTTTATTCATAGCAGGGCTTTGAAAAGGAAGATAATGCCCAGGAGAGCCCACGAGCACAGACAGGACACTGGGGGCCCTAAAGGACCAATGGTCCTGGGCCCAGAAGCAGATGCCTGACACTGCCACCAGAGCCCACGGTCGGGGTGTGTGGACAGCGCACACTGCTTCGGTGTGAGCACTCGGTGCATGCCAGGGTGGGCAGGCTTTGGCGCTCTCTTAGACTGTAACTCTCTTAAACCTCTTCATCATGAGGTCTTGGCCTCTCAAAGACCTGCCACCCCCTTCCCTAGAAGACGAAAGTGCATGCACCAAAGGCAGCAAACCACTGACCTAAACTACTGGCTGCCCTGTCCCCTGCTGCGCAAACCCTTCTGAGCAGCGGGCCCCGCAGTCCTGAGGTCACGGGTGGGCCGTGTGCTGGCACCTTCCCTGGGGCCAGAGGAGAGGCAGAGCTGGGCAGTGGGTCCCCACTCCACACCAGCAGAGTGTCGGCATCGGCTTGTGTGACACCACCTCGTTTCCTGCGGCAGGGCCTCGGACTCTTTCTGCTGCTCTGCTCCGACCGCTCCAAGCTGGTGGCACAGGACTGGCCATACCAGGGAAGCCTCTCTGCTCCCACACAGGCAGAAAGGCAAATACGACTTCTCTCCTTTTCCCAGAGACGCAGTCTTCCCTTCTTGCAGCCAAGGTCATCACCTGCCACCGACATGCACCATCACCACCAACATAAGCCTGCTTCACACTAGAGCGCCTGGATGCTGGCAGAATGGCCCTGCACGCAGGGGAAGCCATTCTCCAATCGCCTCTGCCTACAACCTCGCTCTGACGTGTCCATTCAACAAAATGCATATATACCTTCCCCCGGGCCTCCTTACCGGTTTTCTCTATTCAGTTTTCCTCTACTGGATAGACACACTGCTTTTTAAATCTGAGTAGCATCAGCCCCAAGCAGAAATTGCCCATTCAACCGAATTAAGCAAACATAGGTTTTTGCTCAATCAGTTCAGGCAGTTGGGGGACAGAAATGCCGTGACGGTCCTGAATGGAGCTCACAGTCTGGGGAAGCTAGACAGACACGAGACCAAATCAGAAAGAAAGAAGTTCCAGAAAAGAGGCATAAATGGCCTTGGTGTTTGAGTGTAAGAATGGCACCCTCAGTTTCAGGGAAGGAAGGGAAGGCTTTATGGAGGAGATGGCAAGCAAGAGAAGCCACTGGACTAGAGTGTGTCCTTAGCATCGGAAGCTGGCAAGGCAACACGGCCAAGGTGCAGGGGGTAAGAGATCATCGGGTTACTGGATGTGGCTTGGTTGGTGTGGGGGGTCCCGGGGTTCAGACCGGAGCAGAAGACATATGGAGGGAAGAGCTTACGGAAGGAGTCAAACACCTTGTGGCCACACCAAGAATAAAGAGGTTCAGCAGATGTGGGGAAGGGGAGGTGGGCATGCAGAAGGCAGGAGACAAGGAAGAACTCAAACGTTGGGGACTTTAAAGCTCACTCGTTTACAGGCAATGAAGTTGGGTAGGTAGGCGTCGTCTAAGATCAACTGGAAATAAGAATCCCAGAGGTGTGAGGCAAGAAACTATGAGCTGCAGACAGAGATGTCTGTCTTAATGCTGAAGCCGCAAAGGGAAGTCAGGGAAGGGAACAGAGGACGTCTGTGAGAGCGAAGGTCCCTAAACAAAGCTGAGTGGCCCAGAGAAGAGGAAGCAGCAACACCCACCCATGGCTGACACCCACCCGTGGCCGTGTGAGGTGCAGAGTTGGGGAAACGGACCTCCAGGGACCACGGAGGAAAGAGAGGGGAGGTGGGAGGAGCAGAAAGCAGGCTGCGGGCTGGGTGTGGGGGAGGAAAAGGTGCAAATGGAAGGGTCCTGTTGTGCCTGGAGGGGCGGGGACAAGCACCTGCCATAGCTCTGGTCTGCAGGGATGGAACCTGGGTCCAAGGCGTCCTCTGCTTCTAACCGGCTTTTATAAGGAATGCAAAAGGTCAGAAAGCATGAAGAGGTGCCCAGTCTCACTAGTAAGCAGGAAATGGAAATTAAAATGCATGACCTTCCTTCCCCAAATGATGCTAATCAAAGCCATGGTGGGGCTGAGACTGCCCAGGAACAAAGCAGAGAGTGAGGAAAGCAGGAGGCCGAGTTGTAAGAGCCGTCCGTGCTGGAGGAGGAGAAGGCGTCAGAGGCGGGATGGGGTGATCAGAGGGGCGGCAGGTGTGCTGTCGCGGGGGCCAAGGGACAAAGTGCAGGCTGCGGCTCAGAGCTCTAGCCAGGCGAGGATCGGGCAACAGCCACCATTTGGCAACCTGGAGGTCACCTTCCCCAAAGGGAGAGCGTCTGGGGCGGGGGGGGCATGGGAGGTAAGGAGGAGCCAGAGGATCGGTAAAGGCTGTGCCATGGCTACAGAGAACGTTCCGGACCCCCCACACTGTCCCCTGAGAAGTGGCAGGCCAGGAGTCAAGGTGTGGAGGCGTCCTGGACCTCAGGGAGGAGATGGAAGTGGCTTGGAGCTTGGGAGAGGCAGCCCTCAGTGAGGTGGCAGGAAGCCAGGCCTCAGCGGAGAGAGAGCCCGCCTGGGGCTCCCGGTGACAGGTGTGCCCGCTGTAAGTTGGGGACAGCAGTGCTCGACTGGTCACCAGCAACAGAAAGAAACAGAACATCCTTGCAATCAGCACACAGGGAACGTTCCCCCTACCTGCCACCACCACGGCCCCCACACCCGAAACAGTTGTTCTGAAATAAAAGTGCTGTTCCTCTCTGAGCCCTTACTGGGGGGAACAAAAATAGCTAGAGAGAGCCTCTTCAGAGGGGAGTTTGGCAATATCTGTCAACAGTTAGGATGGACAGGCCTCTGGCTTCAGAACCCCCTTCTAGGAACACATGATATGGAGCGGCACTGTCCCCGAGAGCTCCCTGCACCATAGAAATACTCCGTGTCCTCCCTGCTGGCTCGTTGGCCACTGGCCCCATGTGGCTCCTGACAACTCGAGCTGTGGCTAGTGTGACTGAGGAGCTGAATACTGAGTTTTATCCAATTCCGATTAAGTGAAATGCCAATTAACTGAAATGTGAATGGTAACATGCTGCCAGTGCCTACTACATTGCACAGTGCAGTGTAGATACTTTTCATGGGTATGGCAAGTATGCAAAGGTACCTGTTTCCTGAAGCCCTGTGAGTAAAGGCAAAATACTACAACCGAAATGTCCATCAATAGCTGGCCGGTTAAACACATCAGGGTTCATCCATTATAATGGAGTGTCAACCCTGAAACAAGCTAATGTGTATCGCTGAGTGAAAAGTAAAAGGGTCCAGGGGACAGTGTGCATAGTACAGTCACTAATTTTTGTACAGAAGGGCAGGATATTGGGGCGCCTGGGTGGCTCAGTCAGCTAAGCATCCAACTTTGGCTGAGGTCATGATCTCAGAGTTTGTGGGTTCGAGCCCTGCGTTGGGCTCTGTGCTGACAGCTCAGAGCCTGGAGCCTGCTTCAGATTCTGTGTCTCCCTCTCTCTGCCCTTCCCCTGCTCGTGCTCTTTCTCTGTCCCTCAAAAATGAATAAATATTTTTAAAAAAAAATTTTTTTAAAGGGCAGGATAGGGGCGCCTGGGTGGCTCAGTCGGTTAAGCCTCCGACCTCGGCTCAGGTCATGATCTCACGGCTCGTGGGTTCAAGCCCTGTGTCGGGCTCTGTGCTGACAGCTCAAGAGCCTAGAGCCTGTTTCAGATTCTGTCTCCCCCTCTCTTTCAGCCCCTTCCCTGCTCATGCTCTGTCTGTCTCTCTCTCAAGAATAAACATTTTTTAAAAATTAATTAAATTTAAAAAGGGCACAATATGTGTATGTAAATATATATGCGGTAAGTGCCTGAGAAGACATACCCCAAAATGGTAGCATCTCTGCAGAGAAAGAAACGGTAAGTGGGAAACAGGCGGAAAGGAGACTTCACTTTTCATCTTTTTCACCCTTAGGATAGGGTGCCTTGTAAACACTGGTGCTTGCTCAGATTAATTAATGAACAACTACAATAAAACAGAAATAAAGCACTGGTTTGTAAAAAAATATATATATATATATATACATATAAGCTGCGAAGTTAGACATTATATATAAACCATCTGCTCAAGGATGCACATAACATCATTAATAGAAACTTTGACTCTCTCGACCCTTACTGCCCCCAGTCCTGCGGGAGGTCTAGTTTTTTGGGGGAAGGCATCTGACTTGGCTCAGAAATGTGCTGTGGTAATTAATCTGGCTTCTCCTCTCTGCCTGCCTGGGTTCAAATCAAATCGTGCACATGCTCTGCGATTTAGCATAACAGGACTTGCCAGAGAGGCCGGCCTCTGTGTCATTACTGCCTGGCTGAAGGAGGGGGCAGACAGAGCCAAGTGCTCTGTTTCCATAGTGCCCCATGGTGGCTTAACCACCGCGGCTTTGCGTAATCCCCTTGAACGGAAATGAAATGTCAACAGAGGGGCAGCCTTGTGTCCAGGGGGCCCTGGCGGGCAGAACAAATGTGGTCTAGACCCAGACAAGCACGGACTCAGCACACAGGCTGTCAGGCCACACTCTCCACGCCCCCCACTCCCATCCAGACCTCAGGTTCCCCCTCAGGTCAAAGAGGGGGTGAGTGGGATGCAGCTCTCGCGTCCCAGGAGCCCGCAGCTCGTTTATGGAAGTCCCGGGTCCTGACACACTGGTGGCCACACGGGAGGAGAGCCTCCGGGGTGGGACAAAGGCCTGAGCGTGTGTCCCAGAAATGCAATTAGCCCTTCTCCCCCCAGCCCATCTCCCAGGGGCCCGTGAGCCCCTCCAGCTGCCCGTCCCTTCCAGCCTGCTGAGGTGGGAAGGGCTCAGTCGTTGGAAACCAGCTCTGCCTCGGTCTGAACCTCAGCCTCTCCACCTCCCAGGGCCGTCAGGGGCATTTGCTAAGCCCACTGTGTACTCCTCTGTATACAGCGGGTGCTCATCCAGGGTGCCTCTGCGCCTCTCACACCTCCCGCAGGCTCCGGGTAGTGTGGGCACCCGCTGGGAACACGGTGGCGAATGCAGGTACGGGCCCAGTTCACTGCCATCATCATTATTACTTTTTAAAAGCTTTTTTTTTTTCCCTGTGATTTTTTAATCAGAAAATGTTCTTTGGAGCCAATCACTTGTCTTCCTACTCCCTTAAATCCACTTGACTGGAGATTAAGCCAGATAGTTAAAAATTTGCAGCCAAAAATTAAATTAAACAGCCAAATGACTCAAGAGTCTATCCCTCAAGGGTTGTTCTTCTCTCCTTCCTTCTTTGAAAATCTATCAACGCTCAGATACCATATGCCTGAAGCCTGGTAGCTGCCCTAAACAGCGCTGAGGCTAGTGAGAGAGACAGATTCTGGAAAAGACTATTGTAATACCACCGGTCCTGACACAGAACAGGGGCACATGTGTATGTGTATGTGTGTGTGTGTATGTGTGTGTGTGTGTATACAAGTGTGTGCATGCGGTATCAAGGAACACTTCCTAGAGGAGGTGACATCTAAGCTGAAAATAAGAGTAAGAGAAGGCAAATGCTGGGGGGTAAGGGGTGAGGGAGAGGACGGTGTGAACAAAGGGCAGAGTGTGGAGATGACACAGCCCAGAATAAACTGCACACACTTCAGAGCCTAATGTGAGAGAGGGAGGCTGCAGCGGGCTGTGTCATGGTCCCAGACACAGCAGGTCTTAACCCTGGAACCCACACTTGTCACCCTATATGCAAATAGGGTCTTTACAGACCTGCTTAAGTCAAGGATCTTAATATGGGGAGATGACCCTGACTATCTGGATGGACCCTAAATGAGATCACACATTTCCTTATAAAATGGAAGCAGCGTCAGGGTGCCTGGGTGGCTCAGTCGGTTAAGCGTCCAACTTCAGATCAGGTCCTGATCTCATGGTTTGTGAGTTCGAACCCCTCACTGGGCTCTGTGCTGACAGCTCAGAGCCTGGAGCCTGCTTCGGATTCTGTGTCTCCCTCTCTCTCTGTCCCTCCCCTGCTTGAGTTCCGTCTCTCACCTCCAGCACAGTCCTCTCTCTCTCTGACTCTGACTCTCTCTCCCTCTCTCTCAAAAATAAACAAACATTGGGCACCTGGGTGGCTTAGTTGGTTAAGCGTCCGACTTTCGCTTAGGTCATGATCTCGCGGTTCGTGGGTTCGAGCCCCGCGTCGGGCTCTGTGCTGACTGCCAGCTCAGAGCCTGGAGCCTGTTTCAGTCTGTGACTCCCTCTCTCTCTGACCCTCCCCTGCTCACGCTGTCTCTCTCTCTCTCCTAGAAATAATTTAAAAAGAAATTTTTTTTAATAAATAAACAAATAAATAAATAAACATTAAATAAATAAAGTGGAGGCAGCATCTGGCTGCACAGACAGAAGAGGGGAGGTCAGGTGACCACACAGGCAGAGACTGGCAGGGATGTGGCTGTGGCCAAGGACCACCTGGGGTCACCGGAAGCTGGGAGAAGCAAGGAGTGGACTCTCTCCCTAGAAATGAGGTGAGAACCTCACAGAAAACAGCAGCCGTTGGGACTGTCAGGCAGGGCTCATCAACTATTTGATGAGGTCCAGGAGGCCAAATCGCTATTTCTGGGTGAAAGAGGGCAAGAAGCGCCAAGCTGCTGCAGGGACGCTCACAGAAGGGATGCGGAGGGCAGCAGTGGCCCCGGCAATTCACGGGCACCCAGGAACAGGCGGGCCCTGGGGGTCCCTGCACTGAGGGGCAGAAGGGGCTCCCTTTTTGGGCTCTACTTCTGGGCCCTTTGATGGTGAGCCTCAGCCCCTGCGATGACCATCTCCAGCCCCTCGGCCGTGCGAGCTGAGGACAAAGCTGCTTCTGGGGGGGCTCGGTGAGGGGATCCCGACAGCCGTCCCTGGGAGCAAGCACATGTTGTGTTCATCCTGCTGGGACTGGGGTAATTGGGGCACTGACAGAAATGCATTTCTCACCTATTTCCACTCTGACTGAAAAGTACTTTGCAGTCATTTGGAGTCCACACGCCCCCATAATCAGGGCTCAGTCGCTCTGACAGAGGCAGGAAACTGGCTCACCACGTGGGCTCCAGGGCCTGGCCGGATGCCACACGCCAAGGGCAGCCCCCCACCCCCCACCTCCTAGGCCCCCCCAAGGACACAACCAGCTCTGTGCAGGCCCTAGGTGAGGGTCAAGTTCAGGAGCACGCTGGACTGCGATGGAGCCTGACAGGGTCCAGGTTTCCTTCCTCCCATCACCATCACTGCCTTACTATGTCAGACTCCCTTTCTACAGGAAGATTCATGGCTTTCTGGTTACTTTTTTCTAACTTTATTTATTTATTTATTTCAGTTAACATTGCGTCCCTGAAACATTAGTTTCAGGTGTGCAATATGGTGATTTAGCACTTCCATCCATCACCCGGGGCTCATCATGACAAGTGCCCTCCTTAGTCCCCGTCCCCTATTTAATTGTAAAATTTAAGACCCATTCTGGGGCACCTGGGTGGCACAGTCAGGCATTCAACTCTTGACTTGGGCTCAGGTCATGATCTCATGTCATTGGGCTCTGTGCTGACAGCGTGAAGCCGGCTTGGGATTTTGTCTCTTTCTCTCTCTCTCTCTCTTTCTCTCTCTCTCTCTGCCCCTCCCCTGCTAGCTCTCTGTCTCTAAAAAATAAATAAAAAGAAAACTTAAAAAGAAAAAAAAAAGAAATCCCATGTGGATAGTTACCACTCTCTTTCAGAGACCCATAGTCCAGCCAAACTCATAACAAAACTTCAAGCTCATAGCTCCCCAGAGCTTCTCTCCCCAGCCCCACCCCTCACCCGGGGAAAGCCATGCAAAGAGTTTGGGGTGCACCTGATGGTTCTGAGCCAGGCTCTGTCAGAGGCATGACCACACCCCGGAACAGAGGATGGGGTGGCCTGAGTGTCCTCCTGCCAGCCTGGGCTACAGTAGCCCAGCCTTGTGGGCCTTATTAATTATATTTTATAAACAAATCCATTCATTCAGCTGGCTTTCATGTTTCTTCAAAAGTTAGAATGCTAAGGGGTGCCTGGGTGGCTCAGTGGGTTAAGTGTCCGACTTTGGCTCAGGTCATGATCTCTCGGTTCGTGGGTTCGAGCCCCATGTTGGGCTCTGTGCTGACAGTTTGGAGCCTGGAGCCTGCTTTGGATTCTGTGTCTCTGTCTCTCTATGCCGCCCCCACCCCTGCTAGCACTCCATCTCTCTCTCTCTCTCTCTCTCTCTCAGGAATAAACAGACATTAAAAAAAAAAAAGAATACTAAATGGAACAACAGAAATGGCCATGTTGTCCATTTAGATGATGAGATAAACACGTGCCTTTTGGGGGCACATGGAAAACACCCAGCACAGCACTCAATAAACATGTGTCGTGTGAATGAATGAATGTACGAGAGTGAGCTGCCGTGGGTGGGGGTTGGGGGGGTTCCAGAAGAGTCCAGGTTGACCTAATCAAGGCAGCACACCAAGGGGCAGCCTAACCCTTTGGGCCCATCCCCTCTGTTCCCGCATGTCCAGCCCACATTCAGCGAAGTGGTGACTGATCACTGGAAAATTACAATCTTTTTTTTTTTTTTTTCACTGAAATGTCTAACAGACATCTTGACCTCACATGGCCAAAATGAAACTCTTTCCCTCGCCTAGTTTTACCTAAGGTGCCTAACGGAATCACTTGCCCAGTTCAGTCCAAAAATCTTTGGACGCATCCTTGATTCCTTCTCATCCCCACGCCAAATCCATCAGCTGGTCCAGCTGACCTAACCTCCAAAACAGACCCCATTCTGACCAGGTCTCACCAGGCCCGCCCCCACCCTGGTCTCGCCTGGCCTGTCGTCCTGGCCTCCTGATTGGCCTCCCTGTCTCCCACACCCCCTCCCTCAAGCACGGCAGATGTGCCACCCAGCCGCCAGAGCCATCTTTTTAAACCGTAAACCAGATGTCTCTTGTTTTAGTTTTCCTCTTTAGATGCTGTTTCATCAGCGGGAATGTAACTCCA